CCCCAAAACCCCAAAACCCCTTTAAACTAAAGTTCAAAATTTATGATGATCTTGAAAATGTTAATGAAATAATCATATTTTTATTAATTTAAATATTAATATTAGGATCAATTTCTCCTTATTCCTCTATTTCTGGAAAGCCTGGTTTAGTTTCTTTAAAAGATATCATTGGAGTTGATTCCATCAATTTACTGGGCATTAATCTGCTCCTGTCTTTCTCTGTCCATCGCAGCTCGCTAATCATTCATCAACTTTAAAAATTGCTTTCTGAGCCTGTCGTAAACGCATTTTGCTTGTCTGATTTCTACCTATGTGCTTTGAAGTTCGTTGAATTTTTACTTCACTTCTTTCTATTCTTCCTAATTTTTGGAGTTTTAAGCGTTCTCATCATTCTATTTAAAATTAATTTCAATGAAATCTTACAAATAACGGTTCATTCTTATCCTCTAACAAGTAAACAAAAATCTTCTGGTTTAAAAGCTCTTTTTGTAAGTTTCTTAGCTATCTGATGCAAAATTTACCAATGATATGCATCATTTGCTCAATAATCGGAAGCTAAATTTAAAGTATCAATTTTCCAATTTAAATATTCTACTGTTCTGTTAGCTCATCTTAATACCTGATATATATGTTCTTTACTTCAATATCCTCTACTCTTTGCTCGATTGCCTCATAGAGACTTATTATATTTTTAATCTTGAAATCAAAACCCAGTATATTCTCTTCATTTGAAATCTTTAAGAGTTTCATATAAGTAATCAGAAGTGACTCTCCGAAGTTGTTTTCCTTGTCCTTATCTTCGGCGGCATCTGAGCTTTCAATGTAGTTCATAGTTACCCTCAATTGTCCAAGAAACTGATGAATCTTCTCTATATTCCTTTACTCTTTGATATTCTAGACTATATTATCAGGGATGGGCTCTTATTTTATCTGTCTGATGACCTCAAACTAAGAATAAAGATTGCCCAGATTTACATACTGGAAGTTAAGCTTCTAAGTCTATTCATCCAAATCAATAAAGTGTTTGCCCTTAAAGAGATTTTCAATGGTAGAGTTTTTTATCATTTGAATGTTATACTCCACTTGCATACCTTATCTGTATTTCAGACCGCAGGCACTATTCTCAATTATGATTTGCTCGAATTTTTCCTCTTCAAGCTCTCTCTCCTCTTCCTTTCGATTAAGACTCTAATTGGCTATATTATTTTCCACATTGCTTCCTGAATCTTGCCTTTCTACCTGTGAACATTACTTCTTTAACTCCTCATTTTGCACTTAACCTATTTTTCCTCTGTCAGATTTAGGCTCTTATTTTTCTCTGAAGTAAATAATTTGCTCTTTCCTGAGATTTAGTAATTGTATTCTTGGGAATTTAATTGAATTGATATTGTTTTCGTTGAAAAGTTTTTCAGCTTGAGCTAGCACATTATTTTACTTTGTTGCTAAGTATTTAAGTAATATAAAGAAGATGTGGCCTGGCTAATTGATCTTATCCTTAGTCAAGCAACATAAGATCAGCTTTGACTGATCATTGATTTTTGGTATAACAACTTCCACTCCTTTATCTTTCTGGTAATCTCTAATGATAAGTCCAGCAAAGCAATTCCAAGCATTCTTGAATTTCTTATAGTCCTTTTCAATTCTCGTTTAATAGTCTATGCTGCTTTGATTCAGTGTGAAGTCTCTCTGTATGGCTTCTATCAAAGTCATCTCATTAGCTTCATCATAGGTAAGCTAAGTGTTCCACTTGTCAAAAATGTATCTAGCCCATTGAACCAATGGCTTCAGATTTCTTATGCTTCTAAGTGATTCTTTCTGTTCAAATATGATTTTAAAGAAATCTGAGTACTCCTTCTTGTCGTTTGAGTCTTTAGGATCGTCCATAATGTGCTTTTCAAATTATTTGATGCTGATGGTGTTTATATTTCTAAGAAGCTGAAAACAGTCATTAGCCCCAACTTCATTGAATTCCTACATATGAATTTCTATCTCGGTTCTGCAGCCTATCTGAATTTCAAAGAACTTTGACAAATCGTTGAATACTTGGTCGCAAAGACTCTCAAAGCTCGATTCAAGTTATTCTCTTCGTTGACGATCTTTCAAGAATTCAATATTAAAAGCACCATTCTAGTTTTTAACGATTCCAAGAATAACATAGTGAATTAGCTCTGCGACTTTCTCATCATTAATGAAATAAGTATCTCTCAGAAATTCCCAATCTTTGTTTAGGCATTGTGAGAGATATTCGAGAGTCCTATGCAGATAGGTGTCATAAGCTTGCCCAGAGAAAAGGTAGTCTATCAATATTAGTCCCATTATCTCATTATCGTAATTAGTAAATGCCAAGCTAAGCATAAACACGCTATGCAAGATTATTCTTCCGACGGCTGAGTGCGAGTTCTTAAGATTTCTAACCTTGATGTTTCCATAATTCTCCAAGTCAAAGGCAATATATGAACGCTGTCCGAGCTCATTAGTGCTTTTAATCAATTTATTCATATCCAGTTGGTCATGATCTTAGAGAGTACCTTCGCATGCTTTATCACTCTACTTGGTGTCTGTGTTCTTGCATTTCCTCTCACCGTGCTGATAGAACTTTGATTTGAGATTTTTTTCATTTGAAAGCTCAATTCTGAAAGTAATCTAACCACACTTCATGCATTTTAGACTAGATAAGTTCTCATTATTTTTGAAAATTTTGAGATACTCTAAATCCCCCTGGAAGTTTTAAACGAAAGGCACATAACAGTCCTTGATTATCATTGGCTTCAAGTAAAAATGCGATAGGAAAGTATTTTGATCTGCAAAAGCAGCTGCACCAATCATCATCCATGTCAACTTAAAGTGGACTAATTCTTTTGGGATTCCCTCTATTCTTACAAACTTACTTCTAGAAAGTCTCGCAAAGTCATGATCAACAAAGGTTTTGATGAATTCTTTGAAGTTTGGGTCTTAGAATAGCTGACCTCCTCCCTTTATCTAATCAAATTATGTCTAAGATACTTCAGCATCTCTTCTGCTGAGATAGTAGTGATCAATAACTGCTAATATCTGATAGAATCTCTAAGGAGCATCTGTAGCTTTATCAAATGAAGTAAGGTTTTTGATAGTTTTAAGTTGTTCTTTGAATGTCGTAGATTCTGGCTAATTATTGATGGAAAACTTAATTATCTCTTAGTCTAACTATATGGAGACAAATTCTTTGAACCATTCATTCAGAAGTAGGATTGAATCTCTGTCTTTCTTCTCAATATCGTACTTCTTATAGATTTGCTTCATTACATAAATTCCAAATGGCTTCAATGCTGCTCGCTACGCATCTGTGTCACACAAGAAAAATGTCTAAAAGACTTAAGCCATTTCTTCAGCACATGATTCCTCCCCATCTTTGTGAAAACAGATCTCCTCCACATATATCTTAGTTATTTTCTTGAAGCAAGCCACTGCCACATAGAACTGCAGAGGTGTAATTTGTTTTTAGTACATCAATATAGGTCTAGTTTAGACCATTATATTTTCAATATCTATAAAGTCTTACTCCTCAAAAGGATCTAGAATGATAGTATCTTCAATAATATCAACCAGCGCCACAACTAATGGGTCGCTCAACCTTATGCATCCCCCATTTTATTAAGAGGCTACTTGATTCAAAAAGGCATGGAGGATCCTTATATTTTCTAGCTTATTATCTTTTAAGTTTTGCTCAAATTTCACTTTATCATAAAAAACTATCTTCTAGAACATGTTTGATTTTTGATTTTCAATAATTTTGATAACCATCTTGACTAAGTTATAGAGATTAAACTTAAAATGATCCTTCTCCTAGATGTGATTAAGATTCCCCTTAGGGTCTATCAGGAATATTATAACTTTATTAAGTAAGAAATTAAGATTAATGCTCTCATTAATATGGAATGAGTCAACAATATATTCTATAGCCAGTGTATATATCAAGTATTATAGTTCAATATCTTAATTTTTTGACCAATATCTATCCATCTATTCCTATAAATAGGCAAAAAGTTCTTATGGTTTATCGAAAATATTTCTAATATCATGAGCAAATTTTGCAAAAACATTAACAGCATCACTAGGATTCAAATAATCAATTATCTATTTGTGATATTTCAATAGGAATATAATCACTCTAGACTCGAACGTCTAAGTCACTCCTTAATAATAAAAAGACAAGTCATTTAATCTTTGGAATGTCTGTTTGACGCTTTACTCCCATTAATTGATTGTGAACTTAGAGTTCTCAGTAGGATAGTATATATCATAGAAGACCTTGATAACGGATTGAACAAATATCTCCTTTGGGAAGTATTTTATATCAGAGTTTTTGAAGTATCCGCTACTTCTCATTTCCTTATCAAGTTTAGAGCCAATTTTATCTAATGACATGATCTTAGCGTTTTCCTTTATAATTTTCCAAACATTGAAGAGTAAGTTTTCGTATTTCCAATAGATACCGTAAATCTGAGACTTTGAGAGATTCTTATCATTCTTGATTCTGTCTTTCATAAAGATATTCAGAGAAGACTTTATGTATCTCTAGTATTGTTTGTTAAAATCCATCTGACCTACACTAGAAGATTCGCACTTAATTGAATCTGGGTTATTAAGCAAATATGAAAAATCTTTAAGATACTGCTTGTTATGCTCAGTCAACATATTTTGATACTCCTTAGGGAAGTAAAGCTTGCACCATTTATCAAGATCAACTATGTTATTTGAGAGATGCTGATCCTTGCTTAGAATTAATTCATTTCTCAACTGCTGATCTCTTTCTTACCTTTTTTTACTAATACTCAAAGATCTGTCCATTTGGTTAAGCTCATTCTTGCTTAAATCAATATTATCATCTTCTCTCTTAAATCGATTTATGCTTTTTTGTATCATTTTTTTATCATCATATCGCTTATCATTCTTCATAAATTGAATCTTTAGCTATTAGAATTACTTATGAATGACTCTAGCAAGTGGGAACTTGATTCTGTCAAAATTCTCTGTTAAGTAATACATATCTTGAAGCCTTTGGTTGACGTAGTTATTAGTAAATAGTTTATTAAAGTAATCCTTGCCCAATTCAAATAGTTCTGGATTATCAAAAGAAGTAATAATGCCATCTTATTCCAAATAGTATATAATAAATGCTAAATTTCGTACAAGTTCGCTCTTTAAATACTCAATAGCAGCACTGTGAAATGTCAAATTGCTTCTCATAAGGAAATCATTTGTAACTATATCATCCTTCCAGGATTTTTTCATCTGCTCATATTTTTCATTCTTACTAAACTTCATTAGAATTAGATTCTTTAAGAAAGAGCTGTTCTTTTCACTGCTAAATATCTCTTGTATTCTGGAAATTCTCTTCAATTAGGTATCTCTATTTTACCTATAGTATATCTTTGATATAGCTTCAACCAGGCTCTGCTAAAATATCTTATCTTTTTTATGAGTGGAAACTGCACTTATATTAACATCTTGCTATGACTCGCTTTATGTTGCTACAATACTTAAGAGAGAGTCCAGATCTTTGTTCATCAGATCTTTAAGATCAATGTCACTTTGCCCTTTACCGTTTAGCAAGTCTATGGTATATTGCCTCCAATCTTTACCAAAACTAATATTGTAGTCATTGTCTTCAATTGTTTGATCAAGTTTTATGATTAGGCAAACATGCTTTGCTGATGCCTCAGTATAGTTAGGATTCTTTTCAATTTCAAGTAGTCTTTTAGTCCTTTGGTTATTAATTTAACTTCTACAAAGATTGATGATATTCTTTGAGTCATTCTACTGGTCTGCAAATATTAACAGCAATTCCCTATTGTTTTCTATTGAGAAGAAATTTTCAACTAATACGGATAATTATTTTTTCTTGTGTATATTGCTCAATACAATCTTTTCTTCAATCGAAACTACTTTGCTTAATGATTCTATTTCAAACTAAGTCGAGAATGTGTAGATGATTAAGTTGAATCCTCTGATTTTTTCAAAACATTTTTCTTTCATCCAAATTCCTTAATAGTGTTCAATAAGACTTTGCATGTTATAATGATAATTCTTATCAATGTATTCCCTATACCATTCTTCTCTGTCAGCAACTTGTGTTAGCTTTGATCTTATGATACCTTAGAATGTGGCAACTCTAATTAAAGCTCTTTTGCTTTCTTTAATAATTGTCTCCTCATCATTTCCATAAATGTCTTTACATTGAATAACCAGTTGCTGTAAAGACTGATTTTCATCTATAGTAGGGAACATTGATCTCTTGCTAAAATTCTAATGAGTGCCAATCTAATATAACCAAGTAATAAGTTTTTGTTTAATTTATCTCAAAGATACATTCATGCTAATATCCTCAGTAAACAGTTGCTTTTCAAATCTATTCTTCAGAGGTCCATCCAATTAGTCGACTTGGTTCTTCTAAACTACAAGCACGCACTTGAATTCTCTATGCAACTCACAAAGACTTTAGTTTGCTCCCACTGCAACCTTTGAATATCTTTTGTTACCTATTTCAGTATAATTCTGATTCAGCATATCATAGAAGGATTGATATACGCTTTTTAGATTCAAGAAGACACAAATTGTTCCGTTCTCCATTTGTAAAATTATTTCATTTATCTATTCATAGATGTATTCCTCATTTTAATCATCAGGGAAGTCACTGCCATAAAAGATTTCATACAGCTTTTCCTCTTATTAGCAATAGTCTTAGATAAATTATAGCGAGCTCTCGTAGTTATCTGTAATGATCATCAGATTTCTTGAGTCATTATCCTTTAGATTTTCTCTAATGAGTTGATCTGGTTTGAATTTCTAGAGCTATTCCATATATTTGAAGGCTAATTTCTCTTCCAATATTTGGTAAACTTCTTCTAAATTGATTCCTCCAAAATTTCTTTAGATGCCCTGTAAGATAAATTGTTCATTACTTTAATCATTTTCAGATATCTTAGGTGAAATAAATTAAATCAGTGAAAAGAAGTCTCTGAGTCCATGAAAATTTTGGTGCATTCCCATTGATTATCTTTCCATATAGGCAACATACCAGTCAACTAAATTCTCCATATACTT